TTAAACTGTGAATTTTTTAATTAATACTATTTTTAATATTTTCTTAATTATTTTGATTTTTTTGTTAGGGGAGGTATTGGGTTTTCAAATATGTAATTTGGAAAGCTTACTTAGATCTTAGTATGGTGTTGTTCTTGGGTGACGACTTGCCACCCTTAAATTGTAATCTCTTTTTTTTTTCTTTAATAAAATTACCACTTATCAAAAAAATACTTTGATTTTTTTTTACACTTTTTGGAACTTTTGCAATGTTTTGATTTTATACAAATCAATTGTGCCCAACTTGTCACATAACTCATTATGTCGTGGAATATGAAGGCCCTTAGTCAAAACATCAAGAAGTTGCCCCTTTTAGTTGACATAGGGTGGTACACACATCACCCTTTTAGTTGCAACTATGTTAGTGGCTGCTTTATTGTCATAGTAGAGTGACATAGGACTGTTAAAGCCCAACTCTCCCATCACGATTTTGATCCAAAGAACTTTAGCCACGCCATGAGGTATGGCTCTATATTCATCTTCTACACTGGATCTTGTAACTACTCCTTTTGCTCCTCCAAGTAATTGGGTTTCCTCTAACAAATGTACAATATCCACTAGTGGACTTTTTGTCATCCATAGATCCAGCTCAGTGTGCATCATGCATACTTCCACCTTCATATGGTCATATTTTTTTTAAACAGAAGACTTGTCCCTGAATACCTTCTTTAGATACTTGAGGACCCTTTCTGCAGCCTCAAGATGAGCAACCTTAGGAGAGTTCATGAACTGACTAAGAACCCCCATTGCATATGCAATGTCAGGCTGAGTCATAGATAGATAGAGCATCCTTTCTACTAGTCTTTGAAACTATTTAACATTCTCTAGAGGTTTGCTATTACAGTCACTAAGTCTATGATTAATGTCGATGGGTGTATCAGCCAGCTTTGTCCCCAATTTACCTGCATCCTATAAGAGGTCTTGGGTATATTTCCTTTGAGAAATGAAGATACCCTTGTTTGAGAAGGCAACCTCAATTCCAAGGAAATAACAAAAAGGCCCTAGATCTTTCACTTTAAACTGTGTAGCCAAGAAGCCTTTTAACAAAAAAGAGTATGATCCGATTGACATTGCTTGAATCTATGCTGTGTAGCCATGTGGAATCTCTTGAACCGGCCTCTAGGATATTGCTTCAGCCCATACAGGGGCTTCTTCAACTTGCACACTTTACCTTCTCCCCCTTTATCACGAAATCTAGTTGGCTGAACCATATAAACCCCTTCCTCCAGATCCCCATTCAAGAAAGCTTTTTTTTTTTTATGTCTAATTGATGCAAGTCTCAGTTAAGATTAGTTGCCAATGACAAGAAGATTCAAACAATGACCATTTTAATTACTGGTGCAAAATTTTCTGCATAATCAAACCTATACACTTGAGTATACCCTTTAGCCACCAATCTAGCTTTGTACCTTTTCACCGTTCCATCTACCTTATATTTTATTAAAAACACCCACTTGCACCATTCTGGCTCCTATATCTCAGGAAGATCCAACAATTCCCATGTGTTGTTTTTGTGTAGAGTATTAATCTCCTCCTGCATTGCACATGTCCACTCCGGGATGGTTAAGGCCTCTGCAACACTCGTAGGGATGGAGACATTGTCAATGGAAAACAAGAAAGCATGGAAGGAAGGTGAAACAAAGTCATGTGACAAGTGGGCGATAGGATGTTTTGTGGTGCATGCATTGACACCCTTTTGGTGGGAAATAGGAATGCCAAGGTCATTTATAGGATCACAATAGTGGTAGGGATTAGGAATATCAATTGGAATGATGGTACCTGATGCATTCCAAGGATTTCAGACCGGTTAGTCTTGTGTGGAGTCTCTACAAAATAATTCTTAAGGTTCTTTCGCTAAGAATTAAAGAGGTCCTTCCAGTTTTGATTTTATAAATCCTGGAAGGGTAGATACATAACCGATTGGATTCTTATAGCACCAATGAATATGTTCAGGAGTTTTGTGAAGCGGGTAAGAAGGGACATTTGTGCAAGTTGGATATGGAGAAAGCTTATGGTTTTGTTGATTGGCCATTTCTAGAAGAGGTCATGAGAAGATGTGGCTTTGGAGTAGAATGGGTTTCTTAGAGAAGGTTTTAAGGCATAATGGCCATTCCAAATAGATCACATATCCCAAAAAAGTGAAACATAGGGCTGGGTGCTAAATATGGAGAGGAATCTTCACAGAGAACTCTAAACTTCATGAAGTTGCATTTGATTACTTTTGATGGTTTCACAAATATCAGGCACCTTCTAAAAAACTCCATACAGATCATAACATTGCAAAACATCCAAACTATGTTTTTCATGATTTACTTGGAAAATATTCTCAATAGTGTCCAAACAATCTCCAACATATTTGATATTTGCTAGTTCTTTCAAAGTCATCCTTATTTGAAATCTAGGGTTTCTGAGTTTTGATGTCACCACCATCCATATGGCCTGCTGGGATCTTCTAATGACAATGATGATGTCAGCATTTGATAGATGCACAATGATAAAAAATGTCTAGACATTGCTCTGATACCAAATTGTTTATTAAATTCAAAGGATCAAATGGTTTAAAGTGAAAGAAACAGTGAAAATGAGAGAAGAGAAAAATAGAGAAAAAGAATTGGGGCAAGAAAATTGAGGCCCATCTCTCTTTCTTTAGGTTTTATAATAATAAATAAATTACAAATGTAACCATGATTACGGAAGGATCAACTTGCCCCCTACAAGAGGTAATAATAAACTATTTAACATTGATAACTTTGCTTATCTGATTTTAATGTTGAACATGAAATGTATATAGTTGCGGAGATTTTATTCTTTGTTTTGCATCAGTATATAGTACCAAGGATGTTATTGGGTTTTCTGTTCCAAATTATTATTTATGGTGACATTTTGCATGTCTTATAATGCCTATTTTACCAATTTTTACATCTTAGAATATGGGTTTTTCCCCCTTTCTTGGTTTCCTAATCTTGTCATGGTTTCCACTTATTTTACAGTATAGTTTTCATGCTTAGGTAGTCTTGGCATTCAATTAAGAAGGGCATGCTAATAGCAACCTTCTGAATTTTATCAAGGTTCAAAGTATCCATATGATACTCCCCATATCAGGCATATCATATCTTTTTGTCACTGTCAAAATGTCAGAGCAAAATGTTAAAAAAAAGTTTTGGCTCACTAAAACTCTTGGTATTCAAATTTTGCATATAGATAGTATTGATACTTTGAACCATGAATTTTATATATTCTTGTGTACATGAAAATGAGCTTCTCATTCTCCTTTATGGTTGTTTCCTAGTTAGATTTTTGATCTCTCTCCCCCCCACCATCTTTATTAAATCATATTTTCTATTCAGGGTGTAATTGATTTATGCATTAATAAGGCTGATCTCTCCTTTCCCTCTTCTTATTTCTCTTTTTATTTCAGGTGATATGTACACAATGCAATAAGATCTCAAATCGGTGTGAAAATATGATGGACTTAACTGTTGAAATTCATGGCGACGCAACATCTCTGGAGGAGTGCCTAGATCAATTCACTGTCAAGGAGTGGCTTGATGGGGAAAATATGTATAAATGTGATGGGTATGGATGTTTCTTTGACCTCATCTTGAATTTTTCTACATTCTTATTTCTTTACAATGTACAAAAGTTTTTTGAATGGTAACAGAACTTTAATACAAACAGAAATTATGTACAAGTTCAGTGCCCCAGGGAGAGGTAGAACTTCCTACCTCACCCCAATACAATTAATTACAAATGATTACAATTGAGCCCGATGCAACTGGCCCCTATTTATTCCTTGCTTAGAGAATCAACCAAGCCCTTGGTACCCAGTCAGTACTTATCAGTTATCAACAGGTCTCTTGTTAACCACTTAATCTTCTTCATAATCTCTCTGTGAGTCTAAACTACTTTCTTCTCAGCTCTAATCCACATAAACACTACTTGAGAGTCCCCTTCAGTGATTAGTCTCTCTAATTTTATCTCTTTTTCCTTTTTTACTCCATATGAAACAGCAGGTAGTTCAGCTCTTGTAAAATCTTCTATGCTGACCGGACCCAAACAAGGCTAGTATATTACCTTCCTTGTTCCTAAAGCCCCTCCCAAATTCGAGGGTCTTGGATTACAAAAGCTGCTCCCCTCAAAATTTAGCTTTATAAAATTGTCTTCAGGTGGCTCCCATTCTTTCCGTATTTTACTCTTCAAGTCTTCCTCGACGATGATGCTTCCCTCTACTTCCAGGATCTAGTACAACCTAGTCCAACCTAACCTGTCTTGGGCCTTGGCTTATTTTGTTCCTTCTATTAACATGGTTTAGGCTCTCCACCATGAATCCCCTCTCTGCCAGAGAAATGTGAAAAGAATAAATATAAATAAATAAATAAAATAAAATAAAAAAGGTCTGACAGCCTGTGTTGAATTTTAGTAGGTTGCAATTGGGTTAATCATCTTAGTTTGGATTTCGATATTGTTTGCAATTTCTATGGTTGGTGCTTATATTGGACCTCAACCCAGACTCTACCTTCCTGAATGCAACTATTGTTACAAATCCATAATATTTTGACCTTCAAGCATTATATTTGCAGAGAACCGCAATTTATTTTCCTTTCAGATGAAATGTGTTTTGCATATTACCATGGGACCATTTGACGTAAATTGTTTAAATTGTATTGATTTTAGGCCTATCTGTTATTTCAGTTCTTATTTCCATATTTGCCAATTACTCCTTTTTGCAGGTGTAATGAGTATGTCAAGGCATGGAAACGTCTTACCATTCACCAGGCTCCAAATATTCTCACCATTGCTCTTAAAAGATTTCAGGTCCTGACTAGAACCGCTTTTTATGCATTTTGTTTAGAACTATAGGGCATTTGTACTGTTTTAGGATATCAAATATTGTGTCATCTAACAATGTCCATTAACATAATCCTATCCACCATTATGCTCTAGCAAATTATTAGTCTTTACATAATTTTACCCACTTCAGACCATGTTTTGGCTGGTTTCTTTCTTTTACTCTTTTAGAGCCTTCACTTGCACCTATTCACTCTTACTAGTGCAGGCATTGTTACTAATTGGAATTACTCCCAAGTCCTCTCTAATGCACTTATTTCTGATATAGTCTTTCCATTCATCCATCTCAACATTCCCATCTCAATTACACTTGTTTCAGTTATACAAAAATTTAAGTTTATCTATTGAAATTTGTATCTAGTGTAAATAGATCTTAGTTGATGCTAAGACTGCTATTATTTTAATAAATTTCAGAGTGGGAGGTTTGGGAAATTGAACAAGAAAGTTACCTTCCCTGAGACTCTTGACCTTGGTCCATACATGAATGAAGCAAGAGGTGGTGCTGATTTATATAGGCTTTATGCCGTTGTTGTTCATGTGGACATGCTGAATGCATCATTTTTTGGCCATTACATTTGCTATGTCAAGGATTTTCGTGGAAAGTGGTACCGGGTTGATGACTGTAAGGTATTCTTTCTTCCTGACACAGAAGGGTAAAATACCTGCTCAGAAAATTTAATTGAATAGTTGTTGACCTCTTCAGTCATTTTGTACAGGTCATGACTGTAGAATTGGATGAGGTACTTTCCCAGGGAGCTTATATGCTATTATATAGCAGGTATTTTTTTTCCTATTCCACAAGCCGTAGAGTACTTTATATTTATAGCATGGAGAWGGGCTTAAATCTATTAATTTTGATAGTTCTTACCTCTTGAATTGTATATGGCCTATTTGTCCATCTAACAAGATGACTATAGTTTTTGATCCAGTGTTATTTTTGGATCTGCATATTGATGAACAGTAGTTTGATGTACAATAGTTACTGTAGCCTTTGTTGAGGATTGAGAGACCTTAGCTCTGCCATATATTTTATTCTACCAAAATTCCTTCTCTTCTATGTGTATGCACATTTTATTTGTTAGGCAACAGGATTCGTACATTGGATCTTGATGTATTGTTCCATGGTAAAGTTTGCAACATATTTTCCAAATAACTTGAGATTTGTCTTCTGATCAGTTATGTCTACCCTATGTTCATGTAAACTTGCGGAGGATGCTTTCTTGTATGTATGGCATATGGATCACAATAAGGAGTTCAGAATGATTATGATTCTATTCTTTTGTTCTTGGATAGGATTTGTGTGCGACCAACATTTGTCAAGCCCCTGGAATCTTCAACAAATGAGTTGCAGCTGGTGGAAGAGCCCCCAGAAAGAAAGCCACCATGTTCACAACCAATTGATTCCTTAGTCATTCCTGGGTCTATTGATTCTGTTGGTGGTAATGGCTGCCAATTTTCTGATGTTCCACACTCAGAGGATTTGAATCCAGAAGAAGAATCATCTATTGGTGTTCATCCAGAACCTGCAAAAGAACACCCACAGGATATGGATGTGGATTGTCCTGATTCAGGTTCTTTGCGTTTGAAGAATATTGAAGGTTGCTGCAGTAACGACTCTATCCCAACAGAAGCAGCTTCTGTTGAATTCTTGCAGGAAGGGTTTTCAGAGGATATGAATTTGGATAATCCTGATTCAGTTTCGATGGGTCTGAAAAATGTCCATGGTCACAGCAGTAAATGCTTTCCAGCAGAAATTGGTGCTCCCGATGAATTTGTGCAGGGAGGATATCCACAATTGGCTTCTATATGGGAAGCATCATCATCAATTCAGGTTCATAGTTTGGAAAATGGAATGCCCAACAGTATTTCTGGCCTGGGGTCCAATTGTGAGGATGGGCATGGAGTGAGTAATTACAGCAATTGTTTTGTGTCATTTGAATCTTCAAATGAAGATTTGTGCAGTCAGAAAGATGTCTGTGCAACATCTCAGCCTCCTGATGCTTCTTCGGTTATTGGAATTTTGGGCACAAATGATCCTGCTAGATCTCAATCATTGACAAACACTAATGAAGATAATGTAGTAACAGTCGAGTCAGAGAAATGTTCTCATGAATCCTTGGAACCTAAAGCTTCAAAATTGGCTAGGGACAATTCTTGTTGCAGAGAAAAATCGAAGCCACTTTTCCCCCCTGGTTTTCTTAACAATGACACCAGTATCAAGTCCCTGAAAAAAGGCCTGAAAGCCATAATTGGATGCAATGAAGTTAATCCTCTTTGTACCATTGAAAGAAAGTGCAGTGGTCTTTCTAATCAAAGCACTGTCGAGGTTAATAGTAGTTCAGAGTTTTTTAGCCAATTGACATCTATTTCTTCTGAGAAACAACTTGAATGTTCGAACAAGGATGAGATGGTAAATAAAGAAGTAGGTGAGGTTGGAAATCTCTTGAATGGAAGCTGCAACGGAGACACTTTGTCTGGTTTTTCTGATGCCGGCTGCAATACAGGGCAGGGGGTGTTCTGTGAAAATAGCAGTGATATTTTGGATTACAATATGCTACCACAAGGGCCAGCGAAAAACCCTGGAATAAAATTGACTCCATTGTTTTCTCTTGGTTTTCTGGACAAAGGCACCAGAAAAAGGTATCCAAATCGAGATGAGAAAACTTCATCGGAACTTGAAATTGGTCCTTCCTGCAAGTATGACGTTAACTGCAATGGACTTGCTAAACCTGCTTCTTCTCATCAAATCACTGGCGAGGTCAAAGACAATGATACAATATTTTTAGATCGCAGTGACCTGGTAACATCACCTAGTCTTGTCAAGAAACAACCTAATGAACATCTAAATATGGATGAAATGGCCCATAAACAGTGTGAAGTTGGCAATCCTCACAACTACAATGGATATGCTGAATCTACTATTTCTTATGAGCAGTGGAGAAATGCTAATCATTGTGATCCAGGACAGAAGATAGTTTATGAGAACAATGAGCAGGTTAAAGATCACAGAGTGATTTCATCCCAAACCAAGGCAGCTTTGAAGCCAATATTAACTCCTGGTTTCCTAAATAGAAATGAATCTTTGAATGGTAATGGGAACACCCATAGAAAACCTGTTACAGCAGGTTCTTGCAAGGTTAATACCAACTGCAATGGATTTGTTGAAAATGGCTTTCTTCATCAAAGCAGTGGAAAGGTTAACAATCATGCTGAAAATTCCCCAGATTGTGATATTTTATTAGCATCTTCTAGTTTGGTTGACACTCAAAATGAGAAGTGTTTGAGTAAGGGTGAGAAGGCCAACAAAGGACTAGGTGAAGCTGGTAATGATTGCAACAATTATTGCAATGGTGGTAATGAATTGCTTCTTCCTAAAGAGAAGAATGGTAGCAACATCCGTGGCTTTGATTCAGGACAAATGGCACTCTCCAGGAAAGGAGAGGACTGGCCAATGGATGACAGTATGCAATTACTTTTTCCATGTCTTGGCAAGCCACTAGGAAAGAATTCCTCAAATGGAGATAGGAAATTCCAAGATCTTGGTGAAACTATTCATCATAAGGTAGAAGCAAATTGCAATAGATTGGTTGATGGGTGAATTGTAACCCTGTCAAAAATGGCAGAAGATTTCTGGTTAGATTTTGCAGGAATCCATTGATTTATTTCACCTTGGTTAATTTATCATGTTTTTCTTGAAAAACCTCCAAGGAAGCTCATAACCACAAGTGGTAATTTCCCAAAAGAGGCATGGTTAGTGGTTCCTTGGGAGTGAAGATGGCCCCTTCAACTCAGCTTTTTAACAATGGAAGGGAAATAACTACCAGAGGCATAGAAACAAGTGAATTAAGAGCTGATCAATTGAGCAAACAGAATTAGTAGTGTTGTTTCGGATATTGGGTCCAAGACCAGTAGAAACAGGTAGCTGCTGTCTGGTTGTTGTTTGATTATACACTTAGCTGCATTCTTTCATCTTCCATTTCAATATTTTTGCATGGTTCCACCATTAAGAAATGGTGGATTGGGAGATTTATATGGGTTTCCATTATTTGTAGAAATCTGTTAAGCTCCTCTGCCATGTTTAACTGAACAGCATATTTCTAAAGCAAAAAAAAGAAAAAAAAATGCCAGTGTTTTTAAATCGATCTACATTATATTTTTTACTCGTTTTCTAATCTGTTGTGTGTGCATTTGTATTGGGTGGAATTTGGGAGAAGTGGGATAGGATTTTCCCCAAAAACGCTGCTTGCATGTAAAGACTGAGTGGTGAATTTGGGTATGGGAGAGTTTTAACCTAAATTCCCTGGTCAGAAGTGTTTCGTGGCCTAGGTGCTTCCTTGTTGTGTGGTCAATTTTTGGGATCAGATCAGATGGCTGAGTTTCACACCATTGGATAAACTGCATTCGTTGTGTAATACTGTTTTGTGGTCAGAATCTACTCAGATCTGGCATTATAAGATCCAGAGGCATGAATTAACTGGATTCTCTACTACGAGTTCTGCTGCAACCATATGAATTACCTTCATTGTAACAATACTTGAACAAGCCTCTCCAGGCTTGTCTAGGCCTAGCCCCAGTTGTCTAAGGTAAATTTCATGGTTGCAAGGCTAAATTTCTTGCCCACCCTGGAGACACCATGCAGTTATTCTTGTTCTTGAACGAATTAGCTCACGGGCTAGCTTAATTCGCTATTAGGCATAAATTGTCCATGACCTGGTTTAATACTCCGGACTTTGTAAGGTCTTTGGTTGGGGATTTGGGAAGTGAAGGCCACATGTCCAAGTGGGAAACGTATTACCTGTGAACTTGAAGCGCCTGTACTGGACTGCACTTGTTGATTTCGTTCCGCCATTATTTATTTAGCCGGAAGATCTAAGCATATTGAACTTGGCCTTCGCCTATACTCAATTTATATGATATCAAAAACAAAACTAACCTAATTAACATTTATAATTTGGTTCACTTGTAGCTTTTCTTTTGTTTGATTTGCCAGGTTATTTTATGTGCAACTTATAGTTTGGTTTTAAAAGACTAAAAGGCAGAGGCGAGGCGATTGGGGTGTCACAGGAATGAGGCTTAAGCCTTGAGAAAATAAGAAAAAAAAAATGATATAATACATGAACGCATGCAAAACGTAAATAAAGATTGTGACTTGTTTGATATATTAGATATGGGTTAAAATCCTACAAACGTAACTAATTTGCCTTTTTTTTTTCTTTTTATTTCTCTGTCAACCCAGTCTACCTTTACTTGAGCTATACTCTTTGTAGTTTCCTTAAATGTGCATTCATTGAAGTCACTACGGCTACAGTACAGGCGGCTGATGGCCTCTCAATGAATAGGAGAAAAAACTTCTTAAAGCCTAAAAAAAAAATCAAAGAAGAGCTTATTCATATCAAGCAAAGCCCACAAAAACCAATTTGGTAGCGTGTCTAGAATGTTGGTTGATCGTTTCTGGCAGAGGGCCAATCGAAAATGGTAACAGAACCTATAGGCATTCCGTTAATGGGGGTGGGTAGGGCTGTTCATAAGAAGGCCCAACCCGACCAAACCGACCAACCTGGATTGACCCAACCCGAGTCGATCGGGTTTTCATCAGCACCGGTCGGTTTCGGGTTGGGAAAATTTATAAACCGAAATATTGGGTCGGTTTCGGTTTTCTTGTGTAAAAACCGAAACCGACCCGAAACCGAACCGAACTAGTCTTCCTACTTAACTAGTCTTCTACCAGTTCGGTAGTTCCTAGTTTCCTACTTAACTAGTCTTCTACTAGAACTAGAACAGCCCTATCTTCTAGTTCCTACTTAACTAAATTGTATATATCCTAGTTTCTATAGTTTTTTACACCAAATAGGCAACCTATTAGGCAATTACAATTAGAATTAGGTGTCCTCTTTTACCTAGATTAGAATTTAGAAAGTTTCTTTAAATATAAATGTTTCAGCMYTCTTTCTATAAAACARTTTGMCTTTCTATTTTATTGTCTTATTGAATATTGATAACTTTTGTCTTTTGTCTTCTAACTTTTGTCTTATTGAATATTGAATATTGATAACTTTTGTCTTTTATAAAACAGTTTTGTCTTTTGTCTTATTGAATACAAAAGTTTTTTGAGTGGAACAGGGGTTAGTAAGGTTGATACTGGACCAAAGGTGAGACAAGTTTCAAAAATAAGGTTTGACTGCAGGAGCAAAACCGAAACCGACCCAACCCGACCCAACCCGACTAGGTCGGTTTTGCCCATCAGTGGGTCGGTTTTGGTTTCCACCTCAGGTAACCCGACCAGGTCGGGTCGGTTGGGAAAACCCCAGTAAACCAACCCAACCTGACCCGTGTACAACTCTAGGGGTGGGTAAAGAGTAGGGATGACAATTTCTACCCTACCCAGTGGGTATTCACCCCTATTCTCCTCAACACGCATATTATTGGAAAGCATATAAGCTTTATGTATTAGGTGTTGAGTTTAATAATATTTTGCATTTTATGTGAAGGATAATTGATAGATTATGTGTTCGTTTATATGTTTTAATCAAATAATTGAAAATTTTGTTGTTTGTTTGTGTTATTTTACTTATTTATTGTTTATATATAACAAGAAATAATAGGAAATTAAATGCAGGTTCTAAACTCAACCCGCCCTACTCTTGAATGCGGGTAGGGTAGGGTAGGGGAGTGTTTTGCATTTTCATGTGCAGGGAGGGTTTTGATTCTCAAAATCCAAATCATTATGGGTTTTGGGGTGGGTATGGGTTGGGAGATTTAGGGAGGCGGGTATGGTCTAGAATTTACAAAACCTTCCCCAAACCTGGCCCGTTTCCATCCCTAGTAAAGAGCAAAACATTGTCAAAGCCTTGGGGCGATGGGCTCATCTCACCATAGATGATGGTTGCCTTGCTACATTGTGACCCATAAGATTGCACAGACCTGATGAAGATCAAAAGTTGTGATCCCTACTAGCAAAAATGATCTGGCGCTTGGGTGTGGACTTTGGTAGCAAGGTTTATAAAGCCAAAGTTAGAGAGCCTGGGGAATGTCCTAGGCACTAGTCTTCAACAGTCAAGCCAGTAAGTGCTGAGCTTTCTAAGGTGACAAAGGAAGCAAGATCAAGAATCCAAGAGTAGAATGTGTACCTTATAATGGTGGCAACTTACCCTTATATAGGTCTCGAGGCTTGGCTTAGACATGGCGGGAGGGGCAAGTTAGGTGGTTGGCCTTAGTGGGCACATTTGGGCAATTAATGGTGGCAACTCACCCACTTCCTTGTGAAGTGGGCATCTAGTAGTGCCAGGTGGTTTGATGTTCGCACAAGGAATGGGTTGGCCCTTCTGTGCTAACGAAGATAAGGAGAAGCTCACTTCTGAGTGGATACAAGGTGTAACAGGAGGGGAAAATCGTCCCTCATTAATTGCCTCCCACTTCTGAGTTCGATGTAAGCAACTCGGGCAAAATAAGTAGTTTGGTTAGTTGCGGTTCTTGTCAAATACTTTGGAATTAGGTTTCTGGGGCTTGCGAATTCCTATGAGTTATGTACATTGGTTTTGAACCATTTGATAGATCATGTCGCCGTATGCACATACTCCACATGGAAAAGGAAAATTAACCATCATGGATGCCAAGAAACACGAAAAATTGAATTTGTGCCTTAAGAGATGAATTGTTGCGATTCCCCCCTTTGTTGGATCAAATGGATCTTAGTCATTGATAATTTGCCATTCTTACCTATAAATAGCAGTGCTAGGGGGTCCATTTTCACTTGTCCATTGTGGAGTTTCCCTATAGTGAGGTTGGAGAGCTCGGTTTGTGGTTGAGGAGTTTGGTTAGAGTTAAGTCGGTCGGTCTACTCTTTTAGTTCTCTTAGGCGAGTCTCCTTCCTTTTCTTTTATTTCATTATGTCTAGTTCTTTTGAGTTTGAGGGAGAGGAATAGGTTAGTGCTCAGGTTGGGGAAGAGGAATTCCCAATCCAAGAGTGCTGAGGTTCCCATAAAAGGGCCTCAACTTTGAGGAAGAAGTTCGAGTCTGGCCTGACTCAGCTAACACTAGCCGACCTCCGATGGATCTGGGAGTGGTGCCATGTCCCTGACAATTTTAGGTTTATCCTCCTTGGTCCTGACCAGCGTCCTTGGAATCACGAGGAAGGAGAGGGTTGTGCATACGAGTAGTCCGTAGCAGGCCTTAGGTTTCCCCTTCACCCCTTGTATATGAAGTCTTGAATTACTATGACATCACCTTAGGGCAACGTCACTTAAACTCAATAAGGGTACTAATTGGCACCATCTTGATTTTCCATCAATTCAACTTCCCCTTAAACATCAAGACCTCTTGGGTTATTAGCCAAATAAAGCACCTGTCTAATGAGAAGGTTTTTTTTTTTTTTTTTTATACTTGTCATATTGATCTTAACACAAGCAATTGGATGGTCTTCCTTCCAAGGTTCTGACCTAGAAGAACAAGTTCTTTTACATCACGACTGAAGGAAGGTAGCCCTTTACCTTGGATTAGACTGTGGCTTTTGCCGCCCTGGGCAAAGAGACCCTAACTTAGCTCGAGAAGTCACTAGTTGAGGACTTGGTTATCAAGAAGTTATAGGTTGGGGATTACTTAGCCGAGGAGCTATTGGTCCGAGCTGGTCTAAGTCCAACGGGTAGGTCACTTTTCTATACTTAGATATTTTCTTATTCATATTTTACTTACCTTATATTGCTGTCTGACGCACTTTCCTCCTTGCATGAGGGATGTTGAATGTCGATATTACCAGAGTCTTTTCCGACATGATGAAGGTTGTGAAGGCTAGAACTTCCCATGATGCAAATGATGAGTCGAGGTTTGGTGAGGGGTGCCAATGCCCTGGAGGTTGTTCACATCAACGTTAGGACATTGAAATGGTGACCGAAGGAGGCAGTCAGGAGGGAGCACACAACCCCTTTTTGAGTATGTCACCACAACTCCCAGTGTAGAAGTAGTCGGTACCTCGGGGACCAGGTCATTGGCATAGGGGAGGCAATCAACGCACTTGAATGAGAAATCCTGGGACGCTAGGGTGATGGTCAAGCTAAGCAAGGAGATCTTACTCCCTAAAGATGTTAATGAGATGGGGAGTTAGGCTCCCTTGATGCTCGGAGCCCATCTTGTTCGACACCTTGTGATGGTAAGTGCCTATTTATGTTATGTTCTCCCTTTTTTAATGTTGAGTTGAGTTGATCGATCTTTCCTTTTAGGCCAACTCCATGTTGCAAGCATTGATGGGAAAGGCTGGGGTGTACATTGCTCAGTATGAGGCCATCAGGAATGAGGTAGCACATCCAAGGAAAGATGGATGCGACAAAGGTAGAGATTGGTGCCCTGAAGGACAAGGT